ATTTTGGTTTTTCCTCTTGTATCCATCCCCAATATTTGAATCCGTGACATTCTTCAGATAGTTAGGGGGTGTTTTTGAGTTATCAGAGGTACAGGACTACACTTGTGATTGCTCATAGCACAGTCTGTTTATTTATGTATAATAAGTTAGAAGAAATAGTCAAAGCTAGCTCGAATAACCTGCTGAAAACTCTCCAATCCTTTTCCTTCACACGCGACAGATACATTTATCAAAATTACATCATTTGACATCAAAATACATATTCAGACATTGAAATCTGAGTAGTTATTTTTAAATACCAAAGATTTCCAACAAACATGGCTTTAACGTTACAGTATGCTCGTATGCTTGGCCTCGGGTTTTTTTAAACGTAAGTGCAGAAAGTTCAGAAGAGTTCATGTTTATAGTTTGTTTTAGATTTGAATACAGGCTGAGAGTCTCTTTCTCTCCTCTTTGCTGTACATCCCTGTTGTTATTGGGCTCCACCCGCCTGTGGAGGGGAACCTTCGCTGTCTTCATCCCAAGACGAGGACGTGAACCCAGCAGGAGCGGAGATAGAGTGGGGTGCCGTGGTGTGGCCGAGCCCCTGATAGCGCCCACTTGACGAAGGGGAGGTGGGCATCGACGTGGCTGCCACGGCCATGGGGTCCTGCGAGGTGGCTGCGAGGAGGCCGGTGTGCTCAGTGTGCTCGGGTCGAGCCGCAGCACCGAAATACATCTTGTTGGGACGACCCAGGAACGTCCGGCCTGAGAGGGGAGGGAGGAAATAAACATGTAACAGCTGCAGTGTCTTTTTTCCCTTTTTCTACACTCAAAATTAAGAGCATCTAAAACAGAGAGAACAGTAGCACCAAAAGCAGTTTAGCCCCATTTCCAATCACTGATGTGTTCCTCAACAAACTGCTTCAGTGTCATTTCCACATACTGTGATGATTTCTGAGTCAGACACTCACCAACATGGCGGACTTGCTCACTGACATCAGCTCTGATATCAGAGAAATCCCACATGGCCAAAAAGCTGTCAAAACACGACCCCTCCTCTGCTTCCTGATGGACGGAAACAGATAGATAGATAGATAGATAGATAGATAGATAGATAGATAGATAGATAGATAGATAGACAGATAGACAGACAGATAGATAGATAGATAGACAGATAGATAGACAGATAGATAGATAGATAGATAGATAGATAGATAGATAGATAGATAGATAGACAGATAGATAGATAGATAGATAGATAGATAGATAGACAGATAGATAGATAGATAGATAGATAGATAGATAGATAGATAGATAGACAGATAGACAGATAGATAGATAGATAGATAGACAGATAGACAGACAGATAGATAGATAGATAGATAGATAGATAGATAGATAGATAGATAGATAGATAGACAGATAGATAGATAGATAGATAGATAGATAGATAGATAGATAGATAGATAGATAGATAGATAATAAGATTACCTGTACATAGGGCTTGTAGGTGAAGGTATAGTGGTGAGCGATGGCAGCCAGAAACATCTCTATGCAGATGATGAAGTCCTATATGAGTTAAAAACTCAGTTACCTTTCAGAATAGAAACAGCAGCGTAAAATGTGTTTAACTGTTTTTAAAAAAAAATTGATTTCCTTTTTTTGTGCCTTGTGTTTTTGTGTGCCTCTTGCAGTCATTTCACCTTAAGAAGTCAGTTTTTCTGATGTTTCATCCTGTTTCATTTTAGCTGTTCCATCAATTCGTGCAGAAAGACCAGAAATATATACAAATTTGTACTGAATAGTTTACTTTTCCATCATCTTTTGTGTTGGTTTGATTCCAGATGTGAGAGTCAGAGTTCTGTCTGATATCAGGCAGCTTTTCTGTCATATTTCGAGGATGTACCTGTTTAAATCCCTCCCTGCTGCTCAGTCTTCTTCTTCTTCTTCTTCCTGGACCCTCAAAGTTATCAGTGTACCTTACTGTTTTTACAAAGTGCCTTAGGAAACACTGCACTGCTGCTGAGTGTGATCCTAATATCACATTAATGATGTTTACAGTACTTCATTTCACCTAATTCTCCATATTATTTTGTGACTTTGCTTCTGTGATACTTCATTTTTTGCATTTTTAGTTCAACTCCTTGATGTTTGGGCTATTGTTGGTTTCTTGCCAGTTTTTCTGCAGCACCCATCAGCAAGTGTCATTAAAGTCCTCTTTTTATTCTGCTACTCAGTTTTCATGCTTTATCTGAACACTGTGTCATTTATTTTCATCACTTTTACTGTTTTTAGTTCATTTGTCTTCTAATCTGTACAGAAAGCTGAACGTTGCTAAATTTTAATCTCTGCTAAAAGTCCAGGAAATCTCACCTGTTATCTAAACATGAAGACAAATACATCAAAGGTCAGCTGACTGTGATGCAGCAGTATGATCTGTACCTGCAGACCAGTAGCCACGGCCTCCACGCTGTCCCAGTCCCAGGTGTGTTTGTCAGAGATCACACCAACTTTCACCAGCAGTGCTATTAAAACTGCCTGCCTGGAGACAAAATGAATGTATCAGCACTGCCGCTGTTTAAAGGGAAAAATGAAACGTCTCAAAACCCAAAGCTATTACAATCACACTCCCATCCTTACCAGAAGGAGACGAACACGACCAGTTTGACACAGAGGAACTTCCCCACAGGCCTGATGGGCATCAGCTCCTCCCTGAGAGCTCGATAGAGCAACACCAGACAATACATGGCAAACTGCAGAGAAAGAAACAAAAATATAATTTTGGAATTTTACTTGATCTCTTGTTCACAGAAATCATAGATTTTAAAATTAGTATTAACTGGGATAACCTAAAAAAAAAAAAAACCTGTGTAAAGGTTAAACAGGGTTCAGATAAGTTTCGGGCTGGGGGCTAATGTTTGTACTACATGCTCTGATGTAATGCAGTCTCATACCAGATGTTCAAATACAAAAAAACCCCAAAATAATCCAGATGTAACCAGGTGTGCTAACAACCAGAAACAGGGGTATTTGACACACTGGGAATGTGAAACTGCTGCTCTGTGATGATGACGCTGAGTCTTTACCAGCTGTGATATGTTGTTGATTATGACCAGGTAGGACCAGGCGTTTCTGAAGCTGAAGTTTGCTTCATCATAAACCCCACAGAGCTGACAGATGCTGCACACAAAAGCAATCAGTCACTTTAGCAGGTCACAAACTTCACTGTTTTTTCAGTTTGCTCTCAGATTACAAAACATATGAAAACATCTACACTTTCCCAAACTGAGGTAGAAAAATAAAGAAAATGGTGTACAGTACTTTACTGTTCCATGTGGATATCGCTGTGAATACATACGTGGGAAAAACAAGTTACTGTAAATTTTTACAGTAGGAAAAACGAATTTTATTCTCATTTTCAGTCAAGTCAGAGGTGATTTTCATTCTGCTGTTTTTTTAAATATTACTGATGTTAGTTGATTTTGAACATTATTTTCTAGTTAAAGTAAAAATATCAAGACAGTGATGTTTATAAAATAATATATAATGAAAACATTTTGTTTCACTTATAAATCAAAACTGTTGAATGAGGTTTGAATAAAAATGTCATGGTTGCTAACAGCAGGATTCTGTACAGCCTTAACAAGCAGAAGATCAGTGAAAATGCAGTAAAGAAAATACTTCCTGTTAGGCTCATGTGATGAGCACAGCTCTGAGTAAATGTCTGTTTGGACCACAGGAGAGTTTTAGGTGATAAAATGGGCCACGGCTGCTCTAAGTAGGTTAGCAGTGATTGAATTATCACACTAAACACAAGGAGAGGTTTCATCCTGCATGTTGGAAAAAATAGATATATTTCAACAGCTAACAGAAAGACTACAGCCAATAGCTGGAATCAACATCAAGTATTACTGCTACAGTTACAAACATTAGGCTATAAAACATTACAGTTATAGCACGAAACTCACAGCGCTATCACTGTGGTAACTGGTCTGACCACAGTGTACTGCAGGACTCCCAGCTTACACCTGAACAGCAGCACCCTGACAGAGAGAGAAAAAACTTAACATGCATCCATTCATCACACACTTTGAACTCCCTCTCTGTGACCTCCCTCTTCTTACTCTCCCATGGGCCATGGTGGGCAGCAGCACAGCGGGGGCAGATGTGGCTGCTGCTGCTGGACCTCCAGCATGAGCACCAGGCTGGGGTATTGGTTACTCAGGAAGTTCAGCAGGAAAACCAGGAAGTTGTAAATGACGTAGGCCTCGTAGCACTCCCTGCACGTGTCCACGTAGATGGCCAGGTTGGGATATCGAAGGGCCAGCCACTGAAAGACGTTCAACAAGCAGAAATCATAAAGGTCACGTGAGGGAAAGAATTTAATGAATTTCATTAAGTGTAAAAGAGTTATAAACACGGCAAAGGAAGAAAATACTGAAGGGTCTGTGTCGCTGGATGTCTGTGTTTGTTTGTGTGTAACAATGACTCACACTGTCCAAACTGTAGATCGGTACCATCCACAGTATCCTGTTGAAAAGAGACAGAGAGGGTCCTAAATGGACTGGTTGGACTGGTAAACAACAAGTTTACCCAATTATGCAGCAAGTTATCATTCTGTGACCCTCAGGGTAAAAATGAATTGTTATCATGTTGATATCCAGTTTCACTAACAGTTCATCTAAAAGGTTTATGCTATGAGTATAATTCTAGTATTTTATTAGTGTGTGCATTTACACCTGTACAGTTTATGGATGCACCATGCTAACAAAGCAAGCTAGCTTTAGCTCATAAGTTAGCACTCCACTAAACATCGCACAGCCACTTATAGTCCCAAAAACAACATGGCGACAACCATAATGCTAAAGTTAACGCTTCAGAACAAGAGATTAAAAAATAGTGGGTGAAGTCAAAGTGGCTACATCCAACGTTTATATACAGTCTGTGTAAGTTATGCCACATAGTCAAACCACTGCAAGCTCTGGAGACCAGCAGCTCTGCTCAGAGTTGTTCTTATCATTTTTTTCAAACTCCTGTTTGACTAAAAGAATCTTAATATAGTGTGAAGCAAGTAATTATAACAATTTCACATCAACTGATACATTTGGATTTAGACTTTTATTTTGAAAGGCAGACTCATAAATGTTCCAAGTTTGTTTTAATTAAAAATCAAATACTGAGGCAGGTTTATCTTGCTGTAATCATCCCTGCTGCTCACATTGGCCTTTCTGAAGTGTTCCCAGCATAACAGATGGAGGAAAACATCCTCAGAGCTTCTCCGCTGAAGCTAATTTTAGACTTCAGTTCAAATTAGATTAAATTTAATAGCTACCAACAAGAGTAGGCTTTTAGGCACAAAATACACACTTTCTGTTTTTTCCTTCAACTTCAGCATCCAGCTTGAAATCTGCAGCTTATTTCATTTTTACACCTGACGCCTCGTAGCTGACGTCAAATACAACAGTCCTAAAGTCAGACTCTGTCAGACCTGCTTCAGTGTATGTGTGGAGACATTTAGAGTGTTTGAAGACAGAAATGAAGTGCGTGTGTGTGTGTTTACCTGATGATGGGCTTCTGCAGCTCAGGCTGTGTGTAGTGCACCATGTGCTGCAGGATCCCCCACAGCGAGATCGGGATGGTCAGAAACACAAAGATGCCAGCGATGAACCAGGCTTTACTGTGAGTGCCGACCTGCACGCAGACACAGACCGCAGGCTTTAAAGTGTATCCAACATCCTTCCTGCAACATCACAGTTAGTCACTGCAGGACTGTTGTGTTTTTTTGTGCAGTGAGAACACTGCATAAATAAAACTCCACCCTTTTTATACATTAAAGATAAAAAACAGATAAACTACTAATGATGAGTCCATCTTTTATATACAGTCTGCTTATTACAGCATGAACAGGGGGCTATGAGATCATCTATGATGTTTGGTCCACAGATGAGCACAGGTGAGGTGGAGTACTTTGTCCTTCTGCAGCTCCCAGATGCAGAGCGGCAGCACGGCGATCAGCAGGAGGGCATAAAGCACCAGAACCAGCGGGCGGATCCACCTCCTCCACTCTGCACATGTACACGGCATGACGGCAGCTTCACCCTCAACGCGGACTACAGGCACGCATCCTAAACCACAGACCACAGGCAGGTTGTTAAGGCGGAGACATTAAAATTGCTGCAGCATGTGTAATTAACCCGTTCATTTCATGACACACTCTTCATTTGACCAGAAAATCACAATTTTGTGCAAATGATTGCATAAAAATCTTAGCAAACTGCACAAAAACAGCACAGATTTAATTTATGATGGCATTTGTCTGGATTAATAATGACAAAAGGATGTGTAATTTGACTTGTGTTTACTTAACAACTTAACACTCTTCAAGCTGGCACTGATGCAAACCAGATAAACAGACATTTCTGGAGAATATCTCTGTGAAAAACCCTCCCCACAATCTTTCAAATGTGAAAACACACATTTGAATGTATGGACACACTTGTTACAGACACAACGTTTATGTTATGGCAGTTGGAGTTTTTAGTATTTAAAACACCTGTTAATTAGCCCATAAACAAACTAAAGTATGACACTAGTGCTGAGCGGAGAAAACTGCCTTATATTTATTTATTCTGTCAGTAAAAGCCAATAAAATATCAATAAAACTTTGTAAAATGCAACTTTGGACTTAAAATCTCCACTAACTGCCTAAAAAGTTTGTATTTTGCCAAATTAGAAATGATAGAATACATTAAAAAATCTAGCTTATGTTTAAATAAGTAAAAAGTAATTATTTATGGGTCCTACTCTTGAAGACTGATTTATAGCACTAAAACTCAAATAAACTGAAATCTGTGGGTAATATTTTGGTAAACAGTGCACTATGTGATCCATATTATACTAAAAAACACATAAGTTTAATATCTTCAGGGCTTTAGGGACCACCACTGTATCCATCCATATTAATTAGGTATATTAGCCTTAAACGTGTTAAAATGACCGCTGGGGTTAAAGTATCCCTCATGTAGCCTCTTAAAGGCGTATTACAGCTTTAAAATGTCGTAAAAATCTTAAATGTCCAGCGTGTAATGAGGTCAGTACACGGTGTATTCTTCAGGCATCACCACCTTTTCAGTTAAAAGGCTGCTGGTTCGATACAATAGATTTAAACCGAACTGTTAAAAGAAGAAAATGTGGACCGTTACGGCGGAAGACGTTCACTCAGAGCGACGGTTGGCCTGCTTTCATCCTCACTCCGGTCTCTGTTACCAGGCAACGCATCCCTCCTCCGCCCAACCACACACTGCAAAATGAAGCACAGCTGATCCCCTTTGATGTTTTCAGTAGACCCCAGATCACTGTCAGACCACCGGACTGATCCGGATCGATCGACCACACACACCGATGTCCGTGTTCGCCCTTTCCCGTGTTTACGCGCCCACGTCATAGGCTGGGACCTCACCCAGCTCCCCGCTGTCCGTCAATCACGTGGTCAGCGGAAAAGCGCCACAAACAGGGCGTGAACTTTCAAATTAAATTACCTCTGCTCAAGGACATGCTGTTTTTCGTAATGTATGGAAGCTCGTTGACGCCAATAAAAAAAAAAAAAACTTCTTAAAATATTTTTAGACTTAAACAATATTGTAAACATTATTAGTAATAATGCAGAAAAAAATCAAGATGATAAATTACAATTATGAGATTAAAAGTCAGAATTATGAATCTAGTAATTCAAACTATGAGACAAATTATGAAATTAGAAAATAATAAAAGTATCTGAAAACAATAAAGTTATGAGACAAAGAAAATGTATGAGATACAAAGCTAAACTAATTTATAAAACATAAAATCATCAGATTAAATATTGTATAAAATTTCAATATATAATCTGAAATATGTAAAATAAAATTGCCTCACAGAGCTGACAGCGTGATGCGTGTCCCTCTGAAAGCCCCATCTGGGAACCAAAGGACTGAGTGCATTTACAGCAGCTCTTAACTGCAGTGCACTGGAAAACGAATCAAATCAGACATGTAGCGCTCACACACACATATAAAAACCAAAGCAGAGCTTCATGAGCATGTGGAGAATATACTTTTATTAACAAACA